AGCAGGGTTGGCTACAACTTTTTGAGTGGTTGAAGGACGAGTTTCGACAGTATCCCTTTTTCGGGATGTTTTTGTAACTTCCAATTTTAGTTTCGATGGATCATTATTTGCAGCTTGTGGCTTCATTGTGCCAGATAACTTTTCACGTAGGTCCCGCACTCCTGAAAATGATGCAGTTCCACTTTGTTGCTGACTTTTCTTTTGGAGCTTCAAGCGGAGATCTCGAGCATCGACTTTGTGGTCTTGAAAGCCAATAGAACATAGTCAAAAACTTATAAAGTGAATTAGAATCATCTAACAAAAGATGGGTTTTAGATGAGTGATACAATTACACTCAATTCGTACTTGAAGTTTGCGGCTTATCATTCTCATAGAGATCATGCTCCCACTTGTCATCTTCTCTCTGCCTGAAATGCATATGGTATGGACAAAATATAATGAAATCAGAACAACTCAACAAATAATAGCATGTAGATCCTCAAACCAAGCTAACTCAGCCACTCACACCAAAATAAGCATAAAAGCCATATCCCTATTCTAAAATATGCTAGCACGAATCGACCCAGTAAAATTTTGGCAATGGTAAATCCCAATTACACTTTGAATCTATATATTGAATGTGTCACAAATCTTTAGCATAATCTTGGCACTGCACAAAATCATGAAGCCAAAAATAACAGGAGCACCATTTCTCTAATAATCAAGTCAGCTTTGAAGCTGGCAGCTCTGCTATACTATACTAGTTGTAGGGCAGCGGGAGCTTTAAGAATTTAATATCAAGTAAAGAGGACTCTATCATGATCTTATGAATCTAAAGATCTCAAAATGAAAGAATGAGCTCTTTTGCTCGCCCCTCTCCCTATCTCTAAAGGGGCATAAGCACTGAACTTGATAGGGGATGGGATTCATTCACTTATATTACTGCTAGCAGAAGTCCGTCCAACTGCTCTGGCGGAAACCATTACTCTGAATTCTCCCGTGCTCTAGATATGACCTAATGTGACCCAACAATCCTCATGCATTCCATGGAAGCTGCAACAGCTCAAGGAGCTTAAAGGACATACAAATCTACAAGGTTCCAAAAACAACTCGAACGAGAAGAACCACGAAGTTACAACCAAAAGTAGCAACACCTTCACTCTCAAGTACAATCGCAAAAAACCAGCAAGTTCAACTACAGCAAAAGACACTACGGAAGTATGTTAGCCCTAAATTCCACCATTGCACTAAAACTTACGAATAACAGTACAAATTCCTAAAAACAATTACTTCCACATTTCAAAAAAATCCCAAAAACGCCAAACAAGGGTGGAAAAACAAAAAAAGAAGGACGAACCTCTTCCCAGTAATCGGCCGCCGGCGAGAAGAAAGGTCGGAAGAGTTTCCATTGAGGCGGTCCTTTATCGACCTATGGGTCTCGGTCTCCAATCGATCAGCATACATGTTTAGAGCTACACGAGGGACGAACAACTCAACCCTAACCCTAAATCCTGCTCGAGAGCAAAATTTGAAGCACGTATGATGGTACAGATTTCAGAAAAGTTTTGAAGGGTAAAGAAATCGGAAGAATTAGTGGAGCGAGATAGCGTGGGGAGCTGCAGTTCTTGTTTTTCCTTCGTTGCAGATGAAAAAGTGCAATCCTTTGTCTTCCAATGAACCGCAGTCCAATTCGTATCTAAAATCTTTTGCTTTTTAAATATTAACCCCCATTAACATTACCTACGAATTTATTATATTATATTATATATATATATATATACACATCATACCCCAAATGACAATTTCACTATTGTCCTATAGTCCAACCCATTGGGAGAGAATCAATAGATTTCTTTTCGAGAGTGATTCATCTTCCCCAAACGCAGTATACAACTCTTCATTGTACTGCATTCTTCAACTGTGCTTGTACCAATGAGAAGTAAAAAAAAAAAAAAAAAACCGTTAAGAAACCCTCCTAGCCCAATCCTAAAACTCTAATATCCTCTCCTCTATTACTCAGAAAAAGTGAGCCATCGGTTCAGGTACAAGATACTATCATTATCGTTTAGACAATTAGGCATCCAACCCGTAATAGCAACGACACTCTTTCCCTCTTCATCCAACCATTGTCAATGTCGTCTCTATTTACACGTTGTCATTGAAAATATTTGCTAAAACCATCACACCTAAATAGCAGTGAAAATTCTCTATTCATAGTCATTCAGAGAATCAAGTAAATTACCGAAGATAGGGAGAGAACAATAAATGAATACAAGATATTTGACTCTACTAAAAAAGAACAAATATTTGATTAAATATAATATATATGGTAAACTATAATTTATGGCTAAAGATAGTATATCGAGTAGCACTCATAAAATAAAAGCTTATTAAAATCACTAAAGGTACTACAGAAAGGAGTTAGGCACGCCCAAGAAGAAGATTGGCTATAACCAAGACAATGCTACAAATATCTTCCACAGCCTTTCCATTGCCCGACAGCGTTGATGGGTCCTTTGGCGGCTGCGTGAAGTTGTCCAGACAGTCGCTGGCCTCGGTCATGGCTCTAGAGGCTTGAATGTTGACGCCATTGTAGTCACCTTTCCCCAAGTTGCTCTTCGCACCCTCGATGACGACGACAACGTTGTTGTAGTGTTCGACACAGGTGGCGTAGAGCTCCTTAAGCCTGGGATCGACAGCCTTGGACGCCAGGGACTGGGCGAGGGCACAGCTTTGAGCAGCCTTGTTGTTGGCGAGGTTGAGGGTGAAGGTGGCGAGGTGTTTGAGGTTTGTGGTGCCGGCAGATTTCAAGACGTTAAAGCATAAAGAAGGGTTTCTAGTTTTCTTGCAGATGGTGAAAGGGGCACCGTTTGTGAAAGCTGCATGCATGGGAACGACGCCGTTGGAGAAGAGAAGTGAAAGGACGAAAGCTAAAAGAGAAGAGACTACAATAAAACTAGAAGACGTCATTTTTGTCTGTTTTTTGCTCCATTAAGGGATCACACACACATATATATATTTATACCCTACAAAAACTACACCTTTTAATAGCGTGCGTCTCCCGTTCATTAGGTTACGCTTTATTTAGCATAGCATCATATGAACACACCCCAAAGCATAGGTTAAGCTTTTTTCTCTCCAACGCCAATCACAAACTTCTCTCAACTTGTGTCGCTCGTTTGTTCGTGTCTTCAATTCGAGGAAACATTTCATTCCATCATCTTTTGACAATATTAAGGATATTTAGTACTGAATTATAGTCTACCATATATAAAAAGTCAAATATCTACTTACTATACTATCTTTACATTTATTGTTCTTTCCATATCCTTGTAATTTAGTACTGTATTAATAAATATGAGATTCTCTCTCCAACGATCTTCCCCTCGAACAAACTACACTATAGAGCCTCCCCCAAGGCCTATCGAGCCCACGAACAACCTCCCCATAGTTTAGGATCAAAGTGAAACCAAAAATAAATTAAAAGATGGGCTAATATAAAATTCAGTAGACTTTTTATTAGTTCATGGCAATCAAGAAAGTTACACCATAAAGGAATTAGGCACCCCCAATAAGAAGATTGGATACCACCAAGATAATGCTACAAATATCTTCCACCGTCTTCCCGTCGTCAGACAACGCCGACGAGTCCTTTGGCGGCTTCGTAAGGCTGTCCAGACAGTCATCGGCCTCCGTCATGGCTGCAGAAGCATAAGTGTTGACGCCATTGTAGTCACCATTCTCCAAGTTACTCTTCACACCCTCGATGTCGTCGACGGCGTCATCGAAGCGTCCGGCACAGGTGTCATAGTGCTCCTTAAGCTTGGGATCGGCGGCCTTGGACGCCAGGGATTGGGCAAGGGCACGACTTTCAGTAGCCTTGTCATGGGCGAGGTTGAGGGTGAAGGTGGCCAACCCTTTGAGGTCTGACGTGCCAGCCGATTTCAACACGTTTGAGCAAAAAGAAGGGTTTCTAGTTTTTGGGCAGATCGTGGAAACGACGTCGTTCGGGGAAGTTGCATTGCCATTCGAGAAGAGAATTGAAAGGACAAAAAGAGAAGAGACTGCAAGAACAATAGAATTCGCCATTTTTATGTGCTTTTTCTTACTTTCATATTCATTGTTCATACCTAATATATATATATATATATATATATATACATATATATATATATATATACAATGAATGGTGATTTGTTTCCAAATTTTTATGTGCAATAAATGTGTTACCATTATTTATAAAATTCCATTTTAATTTCCTATTTAATTTTCGGCGGTGACTTGTAGTCACATGGACATAGAATGAGTTGGCGATTCATAGATTATGACACGTGGACTAGGATCTCGTGCAGAACCCCCACAGAGTCGATGAGCAAAGCGGCCTCGATTGGGTCAACCATGAAAAATTGCATAAACCAACTTAAGTGAACATGAGCTGAGTCTCATTCGGTTAGACCATGAATCAATAAACATTTCGATAAGGCAAGAATTAGAGAACTAAAGAGATAGAATTGGAATAAACTTTATCCTATTTTATTCATCGTATTAATTAATTAATTATGATATAGGGTTTAATTTGCAAGGTTATTATTACATAATTTGTTGCCTTCATTAGCATGGTGAATATTGTTATAACAACTCATAATTAATCATTTATTTTTAATAATATATAAATAAAGTTTGTTATTTTATTCCGATAACACTAACTATATCACTGTTTAATGATTGACGAAGAAATATGTGTGTGGAGTATCATATACAATAAGTTTGAATAAGATTTGACCATAAAATATTTAATTTTTTTTATAAATTTGTTAACTGAGAAAATTAATATTTCACAAGATGATCATATATAACTCGATTTTAGTCGAATTTTTTCTTTGATTTGAATGAATTGAATTAGTTTTTAGTTGATTCATTAAGCCTACCTGTAAAGTTATGAGTCTCATGTGTAGTCAGTCGTTAACCGAGAGTGGCACCATCTAGTTTTCTCACTTATCTTCTTCAATGGGGTTGTGCCCATGCATGCAGCTTTTCGAGACGATGTCTTGAAATCTGCTTGCACCATAGACCTGAAAGGGCTAGCCACCTTCACCCTTGACCTCGCCCACAACAAAGCTGTTGAAACCCGTGCCCTTGCCCAATCCTTGGCGTCCAAGGCTGCTGATCCCAAGCTTAAGGAGCGCTATGCTACCTGTGTTGAACTCTACGATGATGCCGTCGACCACATCGAGGATGGGAAGGACAACTTGGGGGAAGGTGACTACATTGGCCTTAATATTAAGGCGTTTGCAGCCATGACGGAGGCCAGCGACGGTCTCGACAACTTCACGCAGTCGCTGAAGGACCCATCGGTGCTGCCTGCCAACGGGAAGGCTGTGGAAGATATTAGTTGCATCATCTTGGTTATAGCCAATCTTCTTCTTGGCCGTGCCTAACTCCTTTTTGTTTAACCTTTCTTCCCATTTTATACTACAAACCTCGGTAGAATGTCATCAATCAATAATATGTCTGTTTTGAATCCTAATCCTTCACTTCTATCTTTGAATCATATTAACGGAAATAACATGACACGGTCACTTTTAATCGTAAATCATTATCATCTCGACAATTAGACATCAATCAATAATCACAACGACACTCTTTTCATCCTCATCCAACCATTGTCAATGTCGTCTCTATTTGCCTATAAACCGTTATCATTAAGAATATTTGTTAAAATCAATATGATATCAATAATAAGCGGTAATAAAAAAGTAAATATCTATATATTTGATTAAATATGATATATATGGTAAACTATAATTCACGATTATAAATATCTCTTATTAAAATCAAGAAAGGTACAACAAAAAGGAGTTTAGACCGACCCAATAAGAAGGTTGGCTATAACCAAGATAATACTACAAATATCTTCCACAGCCTTCCCGTTGCCAGGCAGCGCCGATGGGTCCTTCGGCGGCTGCGTGAAGCTGTCCAGACAGTCGCCGGCCTCCGTCATGGCTGCAGATGCCTTAATGTTGACGCCATTGTAGTCACCTTCCCCCAAGTAGTTCTTCCCATCCTCGATGCCATCGGCAGCATTGCCGTAGAATTCAGCACAGGTGTCATAGCGCTCCTTAAGCTTGGGATCGGCGGCCTTGGACGCCAGGGACTGGGCGAGGGCATGGCTTTCAGCAGCTTTGTCATGGGCGAGGTTGAGGGTGAAGGTGGCCAGCTCTTTGAGGTCGGAGGTGCCAGCAAATTTCAACACGTCTAAGCAAAAAGAAGGGTTTCTAGTTTTTGGACAGATGGTCGAAGCGACATCGTTTGGGGAAGCTGCATCGCCATTGGAGAAGAGAACTGAAAGGACAAAAAGAGAAGAGACCGCAAGAACAATAGAATTCGCCATTTTTATGTGCTTTTTCTTAATTTCATATATATATATATATATATATATAATTTCCAAATTCAAAATGATAACTGGTGCAATAAATGTGTTACCATTATTTAAAAAATTCCATCTTAATTTCTTATTTAATTTTTCGGCCGTTACTTGTAGTCACATGGACATAGAATGAGTTGGTGACTCATAGATTATGACACGTGGACTAGGATCTCGTGCAGAACCCCCAATGGGTCGATGAGCGAAGCCACCTCAATTGGGTCAACCATGAAAATTGCATGAACCAGCTTAAGTGAACATGAGCTGAATCTCGATTGGGTTAGACCATGAATCAATAAACATCTCGATAAGGCAAGAATTAGAGAACTAAAGAGATAGAAACTCGAATAAACTTTATCCATCATATTAATTAATTAATTATGATATAGGGTTTAATTTGGAAGGTTATTATTACATTATTTATTTTGTTGCCTTAGTTAGCATGGATGAATATTGTTATAACAGCTCATAATTAATCATTTATTTTTAATAGTATGCAAATAAAGTTTGGTATTTTATCTCGATAATACTATCGATATGACTGATTAGTCGTTCACGAAAAAATATGTGAGTGGGAGTATGATATACAATAAGTTTGAATAAGATTTTACCATAAAATATTTAATTCTTTCTTTATAAATTCATTAATTGAGAAAATTAATATTTCACAAGATAATCATATATGACTCAGATTTTAAGTCTGAGTTATGAGTTTTTTTTTTTTATTGGAATGAATTGAAGTAGTTTTTTTTAGGTGATTCAATAAGCGTGTAAAGCTATGACTCCGGTAGTTAGTAGTTAACACGAGAGTGGCACCCATCTCGTATAACACACCAAGAAAATGTGCATAATAACAAAGCTAAGTTTGTGATTGGGTTTGGAGAGAAAAAAGCGTAACCTATTTTTTCTATTTTTGTTAATTTTTCTTTTAATAGCGTTTTACTTAAAATTCTTACCTCAAAAAGCTATTAAAAGGTATATTTGTGAGTGTATAAATAGGTAAATCCTTTGTATGAATTAATTGAGCAAAACAGACAAAAATAAATAAATAAAAAATGGCATCTTCTAGTTTTCTTGTAGTCTCCTCTCTTTTAGCCTTGGTCCTCTCAGTTCTCTTCTTCAATGGGGTCGTGCCCATGCATGCAGCTTCCTCAGACGACGTCGTTTCCACCATCTGCAATTCCACCATCTGCAAGAAAACTAGAAACCTTTCTATTTGCTTTAACGTGTTGAAATCTGCTGGCACCACAGACCTAAAAGGGCTGGCCACCTTCACCCTCAACCTCGCCCACGACAAGACTATTGGAAACCGTGCCCTCGCCCAGTCCTTGGCGTCCAAGGTCGCGGATCCCGATCTTAAGGAGCGCTATGACACTTGTGTCGAACGCTACAACGATGCCGTCAAGGACATCGAGGGTGCGAAGGGCTACTTGGGGAAAGGTGACTATAAAGGGCTCAACACTTATACTTTTGGAGCCATGACGGAGGTCGATGCCTGTCTGTTCAGCCTTTCGAAGCTGCCAAAGGACTCATCGACGCTCCCGGGCAATGGGAAGGCCGTTGAAGATATTTATAGTATCATCTTGGTTATAGCCAATCTTCTTCTTGGGCATGCCTAACTCCTTTTTGTTCCACATTTCTTCATTTTATACTGCAAAACTTGTACCTAGAATGCCATGAATCAATAATATGTCTGTTTTGACTCGATAACCCGACTAATCTAAATCATTGTACCTTGGATTAAGTTCTTTTTTATTTGGATTAAACCTAGTTTATGAAAAATTAACTTAAGTTTGCTAATAGACGACCAATCTGAAATTAGTGTAAATTATAATCTTATTTTACTTTTAAAAAATTAAAATTTTACTTTTAAATAGATTAAAAAAAATTTAATATTTGATAGTTGAATTTATAAAATTTTAAATACATTTTATAAATATTGGATATTTGAATTTATAAAATTTTAAATATACTCTAATATTAAAATGTTATTAAAATGTTAGATGAACACAACTCTATACGATAGTATAATATTATTCTATTTGAGCATAAACTCTCGTGACTTTATTTTGGACTTTCCAAAAGGCCTCAAACCAATAGAGAGTATTCTTTGATTATAAACACATGATCATTTCATCCAACATCCAAGATACGGTTTCAGACCGAAGCCTTCGTACAGAACGGAATCTACAGATTGAAAGACGAGGACGTGATGGAAGGAGCAGACATCGATTCAGAGCTCTTTGCAGCCATTGAGGGTTCGAGGATGGCGGTGGCTGTCGGGCAATGGGGAGGCTATGGAAAATATTTGTAGCATCATCTTGGTTATAGCCAATCTTCTTCTTGGGCGTGCCTAACTCCTTTTTGTTCAACGTTTCTTAATTTTATACTACAAACCTATGTAGTACTTGGAATGCCATCAATCAATAATATGCCTGTTTTGATTCCTATAAATTTGAGGTTATGAATTACTGATCTCACTTGATTTTATTTTAAATTAAAAAATTAATGATATTCAATAAATAATAATATAATAGAATGGTAAATTATTTTAATTATATATATATATATATGTATATATATATTTCAATTGAACACAATATGTTCCAAATATTAAATAACATTTTTGCATTATCATTGTATTTTGATTTAAATTACTAAACTTTAAAATATTATTGAATTACATTTAAAAATATAAAATATAGCAAATTGGATGACTAAAAACTTTTTATTGGGTTCGATCTTTTCCGGGTTAGGTTTAGTTTAGGAAAGATCGAAAATTCAATTCAGTTTACAATTCAACTTTATTTAATTTTTAAAAATTTAAGAATGTTTAATATTTATTATCGGATAATATTTGATATTTAAATTTTATAAAAATTTTAAATTAATTTATTATAAATTAGATATTTTTATGGAAGAAGACGAGTTAAGGACCACGTTTTGATAGGAGGGAACCGTACCAGAAGAGTCTACGCAGAGCAAGATCAGAGATTCCAATTTCAAACAAAATTAAGCTCTCAATTACTTCCATTCATGGCGGCTTCGTCGTCGTCGTTGTCAAGTCGCCTTTGGAAATACGACGTGTTTCTAAGTTTTAGAGGCGAAGACACTCGCGGCGGTTTCACAGGCCATCTCTACGAAGCTTTCGTACGGAACGGAATCCACACATTCAAAGACGACGACGACATGGAAGAAGGAACAAACATTTCTTCTGAGCTATTTGCAGCCATTGAGGCTTCGAGGATGGCCGTGGTTGTGATCTCAGAACACTACGCTTCTTCACGATGGTGCCTTGCGGAGTTGGTTAAGATACTCGAGTGCAGAGAGCATATGGGAATGAAGGTTATGCCTATCTTTTACAAAGTGGATCTTTCTGATGTTCGAAACCAGAGGGGAAGTTTTGGGAAAGCTTTTCTTAAACATGAAGCCAGATTTGGAGAAGACGACTCGAAGGTGCTTCAATGGAGGAAGGCTCTGTTTGAGATCGCCGGCCTTAAAGCTTGGGTTTCTGATAATCGGTAATCAACTATTCTTTCCCCTTTTTGTTAATCTCTTCAATTTTAAAACTCTTAGGTTTTGTTCGTATTGATTAGAACGCTTGAATCAAAGCTTAAAGAAGACATCTGTGAAGCAATATTGAGAAGAATCAAACCTAATTTGACACTCATTGAGAAAGAAAAAGTTGTGGGAGTCACTTCAAAACTAAACCAACTTTTTTCCCTTTTGAATCCAAACACGAATGATGACGACGACGACGAGGATAATAATGTGATCTTGGTGGGAATACACGGGATGGGTGGCATTGGCAAGTCAACCATAGCTCGAGTTTGTTACGAGCAAATTCGAGGCGAATTCAAAGCTCATTGCTTCATCTCCAACGTTCGAGAGCAATTCGAAACGGCTGGTATTACTCACTTACAAAGCAAACTCCTCTCAGGAATAACATTCTCAATGAAGAAGATTGACAAAGGGGATGATCTAGATGGCAGGGCTTTGATTAGCAAAGCAATTTCCCTAAAGAAGACACTTCTTGTCCTAGATGATGTGGATCATCTTGACCAAATAACGAAACTGATACCCGACAAGGATTGCTTTGTCGATGGTAGCAGAGTCATCATCACAACAAGAAATGCTGATTTGCTTTCGACACATGGGGTGAAAAGAATGTTCAAAATGGAAGAACTTGAGTACGAGGAATCCCTTCAACTCCTAAGTTTGAATGCTTTTAAGGAAAGGTGTCCAAGAGAAGGTTATTTGGGACAGTCCGACCGCATTGTTAAGCTTGCTGGTGGTCATCCTCTGGCACTTCAAGTCTTGGGGAGCTCTTTACAGAACAAAGATTTGAGCGTTTGGGATTACGTTATAGAAAGGCTCCAAGGAGGTTGGAGTATTGATGACAAGATTTTCAAGTGTCTTAAAGTAAGTTACGATGGGTTGGATGATGAGCAGAAGGAGATTTTTCTTGATATTGCTTGCTTCTTCAAGGGAAAGAGAAGGGATCTTGTAGAGGAAATACTCGATGGATGTGATTTATATGCCAAGAGAAACATTGAACTTCTCATTCAAAAATCTCTCGTAACTTTATCTCATCACAATAGATTACAAATGCATGATTTATTGCAAGAAATGGGTCGAAAAGTTGTTCCTCAAAAACCTGTTCGAGATCGGCTGTGGTGCCTCAAGAACATCAAAAGCGTGGTAAGATGTGATGCTCATTTGTTATGATTGTTGAGGATTTTTAAGTAAGGACTACATCTCCATTGGTATTAGGCATTTTAGGGAAACCAAAAGTAAAGCCATGAGAGCTTATACTCAAAGTCGACAATATCATACCATTGTGGAGGGTCTGTGATTCCTAACATGGTACCAGAGTCATGCCCTTAACTTAGCCATATCAATAAATTCCTCAAGTGTTGAACAAAAGATGTCGTGAGTGTCGAAAGTGTAGTCAAAAGTGACTCAAGTGTCGAACAAATGATGTAATTTGTTCAAGGGCTCGAGAGAAAGAGTCGAGTCTTGATTAAGGGGTGGCTGTTCGAGGGCTCCATAGGCCTTAAAAAGGCTCTACGGTATACTTTGTTCAAGGAGAGGACCGTTGAGGATTGTTGGGAGGGAGTCTCACATTGGCTAACTAAGGGGATGATCATGAGTTTATGAGTAAGGAATACATCTCCATTGGTATGGGACTTTTTGGGGAAACCAAAAGCAAAGCCACGAGAGCTTATGCTCAAAGTGGACAACATCATACCATTGTGGAGGGTTCATGAATCCTAACAATGATTCTCTTATTTCTTTGTATCAACTTTCAAATTTGCAGGTCACAGAAGCATCGATCCAAAGCATATTTTTGAAGTCCACAGGAAAAATTGTTCTAATCCCACTCTCATTGTCAAGAATGCACCAACTTAGGTTGCTTAACTTTCACAATGTGAGACTGCAAGACCAATCGGAATGCTGCATTCCGAGTGAGTTAAGATATTTGAAGTGGAAAAGATATCCTTTTGAGTTTCTGCCATTGAATTCTGAAGTAGACTATAACCTCATTCAGCTCCACATGTGCTACAGCAATTTGAAACAACTCTGGCATGGAGAAAAGGTAACAATATTTAGCTGTTCTTTTGCAGTTTAATCCTTGCATGTTTTAAGAATTTGTTCAATGTTCTGATAGAATTTGGAGAAGCTGAAGTATATCAAAGTTGGGCACTCTCAGAAATTGTTCAAAACTCCGAACTTCACACAGCTTCCAAATCTAGAAAGATTAGATCTTGAAGGCTGCACTAATCTGAGCAACATCCATCCATCCATATTCATTGCCAAAAAACTCACTTTTCTGAGTATGAAGAATTGCATCAATATCACTAATCTTCCCCTCCAGATTACCATACATAATCTTGAAGTTTTCATTCTCTCTGGTTGTTCAAAGCTCAAGAAGCTCCCTGAATTTATAGGCAATACAGATAGTTTACTGGAACTCCGTTTAGATGGCACCTACATAGCTGAGCTACCTTCATCAGTTGCAAGCTTGAATCGCCTGACGGTACTAAATTTAATGAATTGTAAGAAGTTGGTTTCTGTTTCTTTTTCCTTTAACAGGATATCCTCCCTTGAATCCCTCAATCTCTGTGGATGTTCAAAGCTTGGAAACCGAACAAGAACGTCGGACAGCGGTGCTCAACATGCGACGATCAAACGGTTAGTCCTAAGTTTGTATAGAGCTCCAAGGAGCGGCGTTTTCGGAATCCCATCAATGTCTGGTCTTTACTCTCTTACTGAATTGAATCTTAGCAATTGCAACATTGAAACGATCCCAGAAGGGATCGAGGGTTTGGTGTGGTTGAGAATGCTGAATCTAAGTAACAACAGCTTCACTGAGCTTCCAGCAAGCTTAGCTCAACTTCATAATCTAAGATCCTTAAACATGAATGGATGCAAGAAACTTGTGCAGGTTCCAGAGCTCCCGGCAAGGATTATGAAGTTGAAGATGAAGGATTGCATTTCACTGAAAACATCTACGGCCATTTCCAAGATGGACCGTTTGTACTTCATGACAGGGGTCAACCTTCAGAATTGCTACCAATTAGCCGACGATAAACACATCCAAACTTTGCTCACTTCATGGATGCAGGTTAGTTTTGGACGGTTAGTATATTTTTTCGATTAAGAAGTCAAATGTAACAGCCTATCTGTTAGGGGAGGTTTGCACACTCTTAAAAAGAATGCTTCGTTCTCCTCTCCAACCGATGTGAAATCTCACGATCCACCCCCAAATGGGGCCCAGCATTCTCGCTGACACTCTATCTTCTTTTCTCCCCAACCGATGAGAGATCTCACAATCCACCCCCAAATGGGGCCCAACATTCTCGTTGGCACTCTGTCTTCTTTTCAACCGATGTGGGATCTCACAATCCACTCCCTTCGGGTAGTCCTTTTTAGGCTTTTCCATTCGGACTTCCCCTCGAGATTTTGTGGAATGTCACAATCCACTCCCTTCGGGAAGTTTCCACACCCTTATAAACAATGCTTCGTTCTCCTCCTCAACGAAACCGACATGGGATCTCACATCAAATATTTAAACTAAGTTTGAATCTTCACCCACGTGATAAAAACTAATAAAGTTTCTAAATTTTGTTGCATTCATATCACAGTGGATGATGAGTGGATTTTATGACGTGCAGAAGACGGCCTTCCAGACAGAAAAGCTAAGCATTATGATACCTGGGAGTGAGATTCCAGATTGGTTTACAACAACCAAAATGGGTTCTTCAATCAGTATGAAATGGGATCCAAATGCACGTAATGGCAACAAGATTTGCTTTGCTTTGTGCGTGGTTTTTGGCCCGACTCACCCACAAAACATCACCACCGTCGTTTCCTTTGCCATTTCTGCATCAATGATCATTGAAAAGGAACTAGATGGGTCTGCTAGGGAGGAGGACGAAGCTTGTGGGCATGTGTTCTTGAGTTCAGGCATGGAAACGGTAGATCATGTTTGGATGTTCGTGTTGCCTTGCACCGAGTCATATTTGGAGATAGAGTTTCGATTTGGTCTCAGGGTTAATCCTTCTCACTCTATTCCTTCAATGGGTTTGAAAAAATGTGGAGTTCGTTTGATTAATATGGAAGAAGACGAGGCAGCCGTTGCATGGAAGGGCAATTTTATTCTCTTGAAGAACTCCTTCAGATTATGGCAAAAGTTGACAGTAATGAAGAAAAGAGGCCACTGCCGAAGACTTTGATTATTTTGTTTTCTTTTAGAAGCAAAAAAATGCCACCGAATTATCCACCGCCAGCGGATATTGTCTGTTTTAGACGTTACGTAGCGCCATCAACCTTAACGCGTGAGGTTTTTAGACATTTATAAGGAATGTTTCGTTCTTCTCTCTAACTGACGTGAGATCTCATAATTCACACCCCATGAGAGTCGAGCATCCTCACTGGCACACTGGGAGTTGAGGAATCTCACAACTGATAACTTCTTCTAGAAATGTTCCATGATTACTAACTTCTCAACACATGATTCCCACGTCCCATAATTTTAACCAAGCCAAGCTTGACTCATATTCCTTGTGGCAAAACATAGAATGATGGCAAGGACTACTTTTTGTGATGACAACAAAAAACGTTGGTAAAACAAATATTTGTCGACGTATTAGCATTCTCTGTGTACTATATATCCTTTAGATTATTCATTGAATATAACCTTATGGTATGTTAACTACACATTGTTCAATATTACATTAATAACCTTGAATTTCTTGTATTTTTCAAATGGTAGGGCTTAAATCTCTTGTCAAGCAATAGGACTTCAAAGCCAACACATTGTATCAAAATAAAAATGTCGATAATAATAAGAGATAATTTTAAAAGAGCGAGGAGAAGTTTCATGACAATAATGATAACTGGTGCAAACCCTAATTCCGACTTATTTTTCAATTCTAAGCAACATTGGCAACATTGGCAGAAGATGATGGAACGAACAAACGAACCATACCATGAGTTGGGAGAAGTTTGTGATTAGCATTGAAGAGAAAAAAGCGTACCCTAGATTTTGGGGTCTTTTCACGTAATGCTATGTTAAATAAAGAACATAAGGAACGGAAGAGACACCCCCTCAATTTTGTTTCGTTTTTTTTTTTTTTTTGTTTCGTTTTTCTTTTAATAGCATTTTACTTAAAATTCTATCCTCAAAAGCTATTAAAAGGTATTTGTTTGAAACCCTCAATATGAATTAATTGAGCAAAAACGGACAAAAAAAAAAATTGGTGTCTTCTACTTTTCTTGCAGTCTCTTCTCTTCTAGCCTTTGTCCTTTCACTTTTCTTCTTCAATGGCGTGGTTCCCATGCATGCATCTTTCCCCAACAATGTCTCTTCCACCATCTGCAAGAAAACTAGAAACCCTTCTTTTTGCTTTAACGTCTTGAAATCTGCTGGCACTACCGACCTCAAAGGGTTGGCCACCTTCACCCTCAACCTCGCCCACAACAAGGTTACTAAAACCCGTGCCCTCGCCCAGTCCTTGGCGTCCAAGGCGGCCGATTGCAAGCTTAAGGAGGACTACGCCACCTGTGCCAAACACTACGACAATGCCGCCGCCGACATCAAGGATGCGAAGTACAACTTGGAGAAAGGTGACTACAATGGCGTCAACATTCAAGCTTCTGGAGCCATGACGGAGGTTGGCGACTGTCTGGACAACTTCACACAGCCACCAAAGAACCCATCGGTGCTGTCTAACAACGAGAAGGTTGTAGAAGATATGTGTAGTATTATCTTGGTTATATCCAATCTTCTTCAAGGGCGTTCCTAAGTCCTTTTTGGTTGTGCCTTTGTACTTAGAATGCCATGAAGCGTTCCTAAGTCCTTTTTGGTTGTGCTTTTGTACTTAGAATGCCATGAATCAATGAAAAGTCTGTTTTGCATCCTATAAATTTTTTGTTTTACTGTTATCCTACAAAAAAAAAGAAAAAGTTATCCTACAAAAAAAGAAAAAAAATCTATGAATTTTTGAATCATTGAATAAACAGTGAAAGAAAATGACAAGATGAAAACGGTCACTTTTAATAGTAAGTTACTTGAACATTTACTTGCATATAATGAACAAAGTTTACAGGTATGTCACCCAAATTTAGTCCAAATGGTTACAAAAGAAAAACAACAAATGTAAGGAGTGATCATACTCCATAAATTAGATGCTTAATTGCTAAGCGTTGAATCCTTTTGTCTTCTTGACATTGGAATGATTGTAATATAATGTAGGTTTCGACGAATTATCAAAAGCAGTTAGTGGGTTTTCCCTCCCATGTTTCACCTCAAAGTTTTAAAACGCGTATGCTAAGGAGAAGTTTCTACACCCTTATAAAGAGTGTTTTGTTCCTCTCTCTAACTGATGTGGGATCTCACAATAAAGTAAGCGACGCGGCCATTGTCGCCACACAGATGGCATATACATGTAGCTTCAATGGTAAGAATATGAACAGGATGAGAGAAGAAGATGAGCTCATAGCTTCCCCAAGCCAGTCAGTCCTCCCCATTTCTTCTCAACTCTAATTAACCTCTCCTCCTTAACTAAATCCCAATAAATAATGTAGTTACCATAACAAAACAAGAACTACACTTGTATTTTGAAAATGACATTCGTGGGGGGAAAAATGATCTAAATCCAAACAGATTAGTTTGTAAACATACCCTTCCAACAGAATTAGGGGTATAGTTAGAAAAGAAACCACAATGTACATCAAGAAAAACCTAATTGATAACACTATGGTACATTAAACATAAGCACTTGGATTCTTAAATACCTTATCCAAAATAATATTGCCAAGCAGCAGCAAGCCCAGCTACCAAAATGACTTTAAACAGCAGCTTTGACTTCGAGTTGGAGGATGAAGAGGGTGCTTGTGACTCGGAGGGTTCCCAATGTCTTCCTCTAAGTTTGGCCAACAACTTTGATACTAACTGTGAAACCTGGAACTTTTTCTTTGCTGTCACAAAGAAAGAAATACAACAAGAAATTATTTAATGAGCTAGAACATTTTGGCTAGTAATTTTATACAGTTCGATGTAAAAGAGAGAATGTAAAAATGACGGTTTAACCATGAATCGAAGGGACTCGAGAGAGACAACCACATTGAATACTTTTTCGAAGCTAGACATGGGAGAAAACGAGATGAGGGGATGCAAACAAGTTTTCCAGAAAGATTTCGTTCTCATTTGTGTACCATCTATATGAGTACCAGGGGCTTAAACATCTATAGAAGATTTTAAATTTTCAATAAATTGAAATTTGATAATGATATTCTGGCTCAGCTGTAAAAAACTCAGCAACAGTCTCTGCATATAAATATAAATACTAACAATAAGATTTATGACTAATCTATTACGTGAATAACTTTATATGAGTTTCTTGATCGCCACGCAAATTGATATGGGCATTTTATAGATATTTTCATTTATGTCTTCATAAGATTCAGATTTCAACAATTTTATCAATATTCACATTTTAGGTTGTTAGTTGCTTAGAAAAATAGGACTAGACTACAAAGGCTTGGTTTTACCTTTGTCCTTCATAAATCTTTCCTCCTCACCGACACGCCTTCGGAGGACATTGAGCAAAGATCCAAAATACAATGCGAGCACCGTACACGTGATTGTGATCACATTATAGGGCATGCTAAAATCAGGAGTGGTAAAAGGCACAAGCAGTACTTCTGTGTAAGACAGAATGGGACTCTGCCCCTGCATTATGGATGCAAAGTTATAACTGGAATTAGTAACCAAAGAAATTGTAGAAATCCACATACTAGAACAGCAGCTACCAAAATGCAACAGGAAACATCACCTGCCATTTTGACAAGATTGGTGATTTTGAAGAGTTATTTTCTGCGAACTGCGTACTTGTGAAAAAATCTGGAAAAGTTATTACAGCTGATGGAATATCTAATCCCTGATGAGCATCTGGTGGATATTCATCAATGTGCAGAAACCCCTAAAAAAACAGACATCAGGTAAACAAACAGATCATTAAGTCCAAATATTCCACGCTTCAAACTCTACAGAAACAATACATCTAAACAATAGTTGTGCCAAATCAAGATTATATCTAATGTGGAGTTTAAAGGAACAAATGTGTCAAATTTCTAGACAAGAAAATTGTAGTAATTTTCTAGAATAACAAAATAAGATGATTATTAGCAAAGGACAAAATGTAATAACAATCGTTAAATACTACAAGAAATGGGAACTGATATTAATGAAGAGGAAAAAAAATTCCATATCCAAATAATAAAAGGCATGAAAAATTTAGAACTGAAGTGACGTATGCAATCCTTATCCTAATCCAATGAGAATTATAGACAAGAAAAATGATAAAAAGGAAAGCCTAAAATTACTTGACAGATTCTTAGAAGATATGCAGAAATTGTGTTCTTTTATTCTTTTACAAAAGAAAGATTTCATCAAAGAGATAATAAATCCTCATTACTCTCTCCCACGTAAGTTTGGACAAATGGAGCCAACACATTGACAATCAGTATAAAAATGAAAAATATTAAGAGTTTCTGTCTAAATGTCTTGCCCCCAGTACAATGTCAAATCATTGCTAATTGAAAATCTAATGCTTTTGAATTAGATTTAACATTTGAGCAATTCATTTATACCAATTCTTGAGTGATTATAGGGCATATGTAACTTTACTTGGGTTTTAGGCAGAAACACGCGGCCCTAAGGCACATGGAATAGGATCTAACAGATTCCAGATGATAATATCTAATACAATTCTGAAACCTTGCAGCTACCATTTTTTAAACGGATTTTTTTGCTATGTTATCAGAACTAGTTTACTTTATGCACAATCCTATGGGATAATAAAGAGGAGACCAAAAACTAATAACAGCACTGCAGCACCAGTCTTCACCTTGCGATGGTGAAATCACTAAAGAATTGACCACAAGTATACAAGATATACATGATTTCACTGTAACCAGCCAAGTTTGCAGTGAGTTGTCCAAGGTAAAGCATCAGGCACATATGTACGAACATTCTAAGGTAAAGCATCAGGCACATATGTACAAACATTCTAAATCGCAGGAACACAAGCTCGACATGACATGAACAGAATGACACACATCGTTTTCTAAAAAATCTGGACACAGACACCACAAAGTCAATTTCAATCAAATATATTTTTGAAAAATGTTTCTATATGACTATTTAAGGATATGAACCTGTATCATCATCAATCTAATTTAAAATTTTATTGTAAAGTAAATTAGATTTATGGTATGTGGTATGTGTCCTGGGCAAGCTGGTATATGTGTCTAACAATGACACCTACACCCTACTCAAGGTTTTCATATTTCCTAGGATTTGAACTTTCAAACATCTCTTAAGATAAAGAGAGGACACGTTAGATCAGCAAACCATGCCGTGTGGAAAAATCATCAAACATACCTTGTCAAATTCTATGGTTAGAGCAGCTGATTTCAAGCCACAAGGAAATTTCAGGAGCATCTCCAGCACTCCTGGTGAAACCTTATCTTCAGAAGGCGAAACTTGCATCTTCTCAACAACATTTGTAATTGAATGGGGTTGGTCGTCAATGAATACTTGTAGGGTATGATAATACACCTTGATATACCAAGGTACAACTTGAAAAACTTTAACCAGCAAGCTACAGCTGTCTGTGATCACAGTATCAGGTATCAACTGATCACTTGGTTTTGTAGATTTTAGCTGTAAGGCAATAGCACCCCTTTCATTCCCACTACCCAGTACAAACCTGGTCACATGTAATGGTGCTTGTGGAATAGACCAAACTACAGGAATTTTCCATGTGAATCTCAAGTCAAGTGGTTCAGATTCATCATACTTCTCCGCTACCGAAAACATGTAAAGAACAGATAAATGCTTGTCATCCCTGCTACTCATCTCCATATGTACTCTATCAGGATTAGCTGACAACTCAAAAGCAAGGTTCCTTATAGAACCTTCAGAACTAGATCTTGTAACTGCTAACATCTCTTGTTCCCCAAGCATGCCTTGCAGTTCTGCCATGAGACCCTTGTCAAGCTGAATGTAAACATTACTAGAGCTAGCAAGAACACATCTTCCTGGGACTTTTCTCCCAAAAATTGAGCTGAGAGACCAGCTTGGTTGTAATTGTGCTGCATTTGAATAGCCCAAAGCCCCTCTGTGACTATAAGGCTGAAGAACAACTGTGAGTGTCTGGTCAAGTACAATGGCCGAATTCACAGCATTTGAATCAAATTCAGTTGACAGCAAATGCAATCTCTGAGAATGATAAAATCCTTTGTAGATAGATGGTCGGTCCATCAATACTGAAAGCCCTGATTTGTCACGACAAGGGAGAAGCTTCAACCACGGTGTTAGATTCTCTGTGCAAACAGCCTCACGAGGCAATGTACCATACCTCATATTCTCAGAAGCAGGATGAAAGCCCCATTTAGGAGCAGAATAAGAAGTTGAGGACTCCAAGAAGTTGATTGAAGCACAAAAAAGACCTGAAAGTGAATGGGTCAAATTTTTCCAAGACGCATCAACCTCATTTGGGGGAACATCAAAAACAGCCCACAACTCAACTCCCGAAGGCTTTGCATTGCTGCTTGATATCGAATCGAATCCACCCCATCGATCATAGCGCCAACGACCTTGTGTGAAAGACAGTTCCATTTCCTTAATTCGATATTTATGAACCTGCACAAGCAAATTAGAATTTTAATGCACCAACAAAGCTCATCTGACTTTGCATGGTTGGGATCCATATATTGGTACTAGTATAAGTACACCCATTTGACTTATTAGTTCATAGAACTTATTGATGTGAAGGGAAAAAGGTAACTGGTGGGAATAAAGAAAAAACAATCAGAGAGACTGGATATGATTTTCTTATGCAAAGAGAATATGCAGATTCTTCAAGCTTTTCCTTCAATATGAAAGAAAAACTGTATTAATATGAATAGCTAATGCAAAAACCAAAATATTGGGGGTGGGGTGCGACATCACCAAGGAAACCAATGGAGGCAGAAAATAAAAAATAATTTAAAAAATCCTTTAATTGAATTGTTCAACAAAGAGGTATAACGGCAAAAGAGCTTGGCAAGGTCAATTCATTTTGAAACATGAAAAAGTACAAGTTCAACGCTTATTAATCTCCTTCTTCACACATTCAGAATTTTTTTGGTTCTTGTTATCCACAGAAGCCAACACAAACCCGTGGCAGGATTGGACAAATATGTTCTATCACAACCTTGGAAAAGTGTGCACTCAATCATGATTAAGCCTGCTTACTTAATCCTTTGGCACCTCAACTAAGAATTTATATAATACTGGTATTTATTCTCTTCAGTAAGGAAATGAAAAGGGGGGTGGATGTAAATCATTCTCTGGGTTGACACCAATTCAGACCAAAAAGATCAATGAGCAACTATCAGCGTTTCATAAAATATGAAATATCTGAAGAAGAAATGATTAAGATCCCACGCACTCCTTTAACTGAAGCCAGATTATGAAGGGAAAAGGGTTTTTGCAGTAACCTTGATCCAAAGAAGAAAAAAAGGCCAATACTAAGAGCCACAGCCCAAATAAATAAAATAATTGTCTTTGGAATTTTTCTTCCCCTTTTCAAATACTGCTACCACATAGACATCTTTGCATCAATTCGCACAAATAAAATCCTGAGCTCTTTCCATTTCTTCTTCCAGCGCTCAATGTGGAGAGGGTAAAGAGCTCCCAATGCAAAGCGGCATAGGAGAAGAGATTCGATACATGACACACACAGAGAAAAGGAAAAGAATCAACGAAATACATAATTACCAGCTGAGAAATGGCCTTAGGGAATAGGTGGTGGTGGCGGCCATAGGAGTTGGAGCGGGACGAAGGAGCTCCGCTTTGAAAGTGAAAATGCGCCAACACCTTGCGATCAGGCAAGGGTTTAAGTAATAAATCCTCAGAGAAATCTTCTTCTGTCCCCTCAGATACCGATCCAATGGCTGGGACAGCAAATAAGATTGGCAAACAGAGCAAAGAAATCAGTCGCAGAAATGACGCCATTGCGTTCAGTACTGAATCCTGTATATGAGAAGCAAACCAGAGACGAAAATTAACAAGAAAACAGAAAATATCCAAGTTGCAACTGAAAATCTCAGCTTAAACAACCATCTTCATCAGCTAAATTTTTATTTTTATATAGCCGGTGAGTTTCCCTCCATTCTTGGCTAAGCCGAGGAACATTTGATACTTAAAAAAGATTACCTGATAGCCTCCGTTCACATCGAAGAGGAAGATCTCAGCGTTTTCATTAGAAAAACAGGAAATCGAAAAGAACTGAGCGGCGGAGTGATGGAATCGAGGCCGGACGATAATCAAGTTTGAGTAGACGGAGCTCCAACTTGGATCTCCCAGCGGCGGCGGAAGCAACGCCGGCGAAATCCAGGAAAAGCAAGAGTAATTTCAAGCTGCTTTCTGGAAACTGTGGATTTGAAGCTTAATGTTGCATCTTCAATGGCATCCGGAAAGGAGGAGGCGACGAAGATGGGAAGAGAAGAGTTCTTCACTGCAAAACATCCATCCAGGCAAATCCCTCTCTCAAACGATGAAGTATATTACAATAATACCCTTTTCAATTTTTTTAAGTAGTTAATATATTGGCGATCATTTTTACCGTTCAAGTAAATCTAATTTGCTGTGGTAAATCAAAAGTTACCTCAATTATCATATACATTCATTTCCAATTCTATTGGTCTCGGGTACGTTATTTCTTTATTTTCACTATACTATGATGTCCCATTGTGAAATTGTATTCAATTATTATTACGATGAGTTCATTAAATAGTCTTTCTCATCAAACCTACCTTGTGTTCGGGTCAGAGAATATAATGCTTTTAGAGAGAGTAGCTTCTCGTGATTTGAATTATTGAAGATAATATATAGAAAGGGATACCTCTGATTTGAATTTATATGCACATGCTCTCTATGGTCATGTCACTATCAGATTTAGTCCAACTGGTCATTCAAGTGAGGTCGCAATAAAAAACGAGTATCGAGAGAGTTGGATTTTGTGGAACGAGGAGACGAGAGTAGTATCGTAACCAGGTTAGTTCTAGAACACATATAATTGACGAGGTACATGTTTAACCTTTATTTTAACAAGTTTGAGTATAGAGATCTGTCGTAATTAGTTGAGGAATCTTTTTACTAGAACTCCTCGAGATGGAGTCACGACATATGACCATATCGATGGAGATCGAGATGACAACATGAGATGCGACGTTGCATTGAGAGACCTTGGCTCGAGCAGAGGCAAGGTCGACCTAATGACTTGGCCTAGTGTAGCGACAAGTCGATTGTGTCACAGACGACTAAACATGCACGCACAGGCGGCGTGTGTAGACGGACAAGCTTGGATTCCGCACAAGCGACGTTTGAGTGACGAAGACAAACCTCGCCTAAGGTCCAACCAAGCCACAAAGCCAGACAAAAAAATATATATGGGGCTTAATTCCCCTAAGTAGGCTGGTCATGAGCATCGCCAAACCTCGCCTAAGGTTCGACGAAGCCACAAAGCCAGGGCAAAAAATATATATGGAGCTTAATTCCGTCGTGAGCATGTCAAGATCACGACGCGCACGATAAAAAATGTAGGACCGTGACAGAGTTTTTAAGAGAGAGAGAAAGAAAGAAGAAACCCAGAGCTAAATCGAGAGTAGGACTATAGAGAGTGTTATACTAGTATCCTTAATAAAGATGCCCTGGGGCAAGGTAGGGACAGAGAAACTTTTTCATCCTCGTCCCTATATCTATTTCAATTCTCATCTCCACAAAATTCTCCATTTATTTTTCATAATAAATTTTTAATTCATAATTTCCATTTTTCAATATAATTTTTATTAAAAATTATAAAACATCGTAATAAATTCAATAATATTTTATGAGCAAATATAATTCCCATCTCAACTTCATCAGATAAACGCGAATAAATTTTTTTTTTCAATTAAATCATATTACTCCACATTATTAACGAAAATAAAAATAAAAAATAATTAAATTAAAATAAATTGTTTATTAGAATAATAGGTCAACAAATCCAAACCAACTAATGTGAAAATAATGAATTTATTAAATCAAAACAATTAACCAAATGCTTCCAAACTCCATTTTTTCTTACCTAAATTCCTTATTAAATGTTATATTAGCTCTACAACTCCAACCATCCCAACTTCCTTCACAAATAAATAAATAAATAAATAAATATTTCATTAAAATAATTTATTTATTTGTTTATTTATTTATTTATTTATTTTTATCCCACCACCAATAATTTGCCAACACACTTGTTGCGTATGTTGGTTTTGTCTTTATGATGGAACTTTTGTTTTATTTTGTGGGGTTTCATAAATTTGTATAATTTCCAAAAATCCAATTTTTTTTCTCCTAGAAAATACATAAATAGTCTTCTTGTTTCATTTATTATTTTCTTGTGCAAAAATAATAATTATAAAATAGTTAAAGGGTCAAATGAAATTAGGGTAAACGTAATTCCACTTTTGCCCCCATAACATTAACTTTTGCACTACTTTTAATGTGACCCTACTTTAAAGACAGTGGTAATTAGGTAATTGACATCAAAGTGCCATTACTAATCTCTCGATCCAACCAATGTGGAATGCTTTGTTCCTCTCTCTAATTTATGTGAGATCTCACAATCTAGTATTTTTTAGGGTCCAGCGTTTTGACATACTATCTCATGTTCGGCTCTAGCTCTGATACCATTTGTAACAGCTCAAAATCATAGCTAGTAGATATTGCCGCTTTGACCTGTTACGTATTGCTGTCTGCCTCACGATTTTAAAACGCGTTTATTAGAGAGAAACTTTCACACCACACCCTTATAAGAAGGGTGTAAGAAATGTTTTGTTTCCTCTCCAATCAAATCTCACAATCCACTTCCTTTGGAGCCAGCGTTCTCGCTGACACACCGCCCGGTGTCTGGCTCTGATACTATTTGTAACAGCCCAAGCCCATTGCTAATAGATATTGTCCGCTTTTAAGTCGTTATGTATCACTGTCAGTCTCACGGTTTTAAAATGCATCTACTGGGGAGAGGTTTCCACGTTTTTATTAATAATGTTTTATTCTATTAGCCAACTTACGTGCAGATCTTACAGTCCAATCCATTCCTTCTTATGTTCATATATGTCAAAATATTAATAAAGTGGAATTATAGGGACTAAAAATAGGTTTTATTTATGAAATTTATGTGTTTTGTTTTTTTCTAATTAATAGGAATAAGAATAATTTAAAAAATAAAAAATGGTTATGGTTAATCTGAAATGAAGGGATGAAAGCAACACGTTTTACTCCCACAATAACCGCTCCACTTCACAAAAATCAAGTTTTATTCACATAAACACAAATAATTACACTAAAAAGGTAACTTCTGATTCAAATTTGAAACCCATTTCCTTCTGATTTTCTAGGAATGCTTTTTAATTAATCCCACGGTAAAAAAACAAATGATGAATTTTTCCTGCAAATTTACTGTTCTTCATACTCTTCTCGCCAAGGTATCCAATGCCTTCTTTTTTTTTCTTTTTTAATTTTCTGTTTTAACTTTTTCAGTTTCAACCTTTTCAGTTTCGTACATAAAGAAGCTTGCAATCTCGATTATATATATATATATATAATGATTCTTTGGTTGCAGAGATCTTGAAGCTCTCAATTTCTTCTTCTTCTTCTTCTTCTTCCTTGTTGTTTCTCAGATTCTTAGATTTTTTTTTTCTTTGTTCTGTTTTCGGATCTGTTGAAGGAATTTGATGCTTCCGTTGTTTGGAATGGAATAATTTTGTTGTTTTCGCGATGAAATCTGGATGGTTCTTCTTGTTGAAGAGTTAGGGCTTTTTTGTTCTTTTCTTGTTTAACTGGTTTTTGTTCTTTGTGATAATCTATGGAAGGTGATCGGCGGAGGATTACGCTTTACGATCAGATGTTAGCGGTCGGCGATGGCAGAGAGTTCGCCCGTGGTTTGACACTCAACGACGTTTTGACCATTCATAACAGAGCTTCGCCGAGCCCTTCGCCGAGCCCTTCGCCGGCTGTGAGACTAAGCGGCCGGACTTTGCTCGATATTATAAGAGACGACGTTGGGATATCTCCTGTTGATAACCGAGAGAGGAAATCTTGGAAGTTTTTGAGAGATCGCCTTCGTTTGAATCTCAGATCTCAAATTCTGTCGCCGAATTCGCTTCGTATACCTAGTTTTTCGTCGGCGGAGATGATGCCAAACGAAGAAGAATCGTCGGAATCCACCACCACCACTGCTGCCGCCCCGTCTCTCCGGCAGATTTCACGGCGGAGCTCGTCGCGGTTAAGCCTGAACGCGAGGCCAAAGTCCGAGGCTGCAAATTCCGACGATTCTCCAGAAAACAACAATTCCTCCACCGCTTCCGGCTCCGGCAGTAGGCGGAGTCTCCAAAAGCCACAAATGTCGCGGCACAGCTCGACGAGATTCACCCTAGAACGGAGCGAGAGTTTCACGGACTTGTCTGATCCAGCGCGTGACGGCCCGCGCCGTCTCTCGGCTGCGCTTGCAATGGAGAGATCGATGTCAGCTAGAGAAACAGTGGTGGCTCAAGAAGCCGCCGACGCAGAAAGCACCGCCCACGAAGAAGAAGAACAAGAAGAAGAACAGGAACAACCAGAAGAACAAGAATCCAGCGCGGCGGCGCCGGTGAGGATGTCACTTATGGATCTGTTAGAGGAAACGGACAGGAAAATGGGGTTGGAAGGGTCAAGATACAGAATAGAAGAGGAAGAGGAAGAAGAGGAAGAGGAAGAAGAAGAAATTCATCATAAGGTCACAGCCAAACGCGGCGGAGGACACAGCTGGGGAGCAGAACGGCGTTGCTGCGTGTGCATGGTGCGTTATAAAGGGGCGGCATTTATCCCCTGTGGTCACACCTTTTGTAGGCTGTGTTCAAGAGAGCTTTGGGTGAGTAGAGGGAACTGTCCACTTTGCAATGGCTTTATTTTGGAGATTCTTGACATCTTCTGATTTTCCCTCCAAATATATATATATATATATATTTTTTTCCTATAATTGAGTCGGTATAAGTAATGACTTTCTTTCAATTCTTTTAAGTCGGTTCTGTCGCGTACCCTTCATTTACTCTAATTTCTATAAAAAAGTAACACAATCCTCAAATACTTGAAAAGTGATTGGATTAAGATTCACGGTTGCTCGTTTTGAATATTTTCACACACCTCGATCCTTTTAGTACTTAAGGTATACCACTACTTTATAAATCAAATATTGTACAGGAACCAACCAATGAACAATTGAGTACCAAACATATCACTTTTGAAACAGGATTAAAAAATTTATCTTTAAAAATTTGTATCGTACCTAAGTGATTCCTGGGTTCGGATCAATTCTTATTGTTCATAGAGAAATCTCTGATCAACGATAGAACAAGATCCATCTTGTATCATATCTAACTGATTCCTGGGTTTGGGCTTTTTACATCTAATAGGTTATGAACTAGATCAGAATTATTCTTAACTAGTCCATAAGAAGTGATCCCATTTTTTCCATTGGATTTGGATAGAGACCTAATAGGGGTCATGAACTAGATCAGAATTATTCTCAACTAGTGATCCCATTTTTTCCATTGGATTTGGATAGAGACCTTGGACGACGATCCGCAGACCAGCTCAAAAATAGAGCACAGGTAATGTGAATAATTAAGTGTTAATGGGTTAGACAAGTGACATTGGTACTAAGCTTTGTATATGAATTATTTATAGATCCAAGCAGATAGGCGGGGAATCTTGTGGGCTTCTTCTGGAGAGTTCCATTGAGATGTGGTAGCGCACAACTTTTCTTCCTTTTTATATCCATCGCCTTCTCCACTCGCATCATTCAAATCTCATTCTCTTCTAACATTTTTCTCTCATTTTCTTTCGATTTCCACATACATTCATTACCATGTCTCATATCCTTCCTTTCGTTCCTTGTTTCTTTTTTGTTTTTTGATTCTTTTATGAACAGAGGAGAAGTAGAATCAGAGGATTTTTGTAATTTTGTTTTTGAAATTTTCTTTGTTGTGATTTCTTCAAATCCTGCTCATGATCGATGATTTTAGGCAACGAAATAGGTTAGAGTTAATGGAGTTTATATAGAGTGATTTTGTAGTAGATTTTGTGGTTTTATGTTTGTTTGTCTTTAACTGAAGCGAACGCGGAAACCAGAGAGATCGAGATCGAGAAAGGGCTCAAGCTAGGGCTGGAAGCAAGACCAAGCAACCGAGAAACGACGGCTTGACGCCTGAACAGCGACGCGAAAGGTTTCGTTCCTCTTTCTTAGTTATCAAAATTCGTCTTAAGTAACTTTTATGAGCTTGATTTTCAAAAATTGACAACAAAAATTAATTAGTTACCAAAAGAAGTCTTATTGGAACAGAATCTGTTTTGGAGTGAGAATTTGGGAAGTTGAATGGATGGAGTTGTATTTGTGTTCAGGGATGCAAAAGCTCTTCAGGAGAAGACGGCGAGAAAAGCTGCAATGGCTGCCGGAGGAATCAACGCTGGCGGCGGAGGTAAAATTAAGTAACTGCAGATTCGATTTGGAGTAAATAGGAGAAGATTTATGGTAAAATCCATCCATCATGTGGATTCCTTTGCATTAGAACAAAGTTTGACTCTGCTTTTGAATGGTTATTTTTGTAGTTTTTGCTGGGCTTCAAATGCTTGTTCTCTCTGCAAACTTTTTCATATTTGAATGAAAATGATGTCAATTTCTTGCAATTCCATTGGCCACTTTTTATTTTAAATTTATTATGATACTTCGTTGAGATTTGTGTCAATTTACTTTCGATGATTGTAAACATTGATGATTGAATGCCCAATGATATTGGGGCTAGAGCACATGCCCGATTTGTTACAAGGCAAGACTCCATAGGTCAGCAAAGAACAATAGAATAGTAAATAAGGAATGTGAGTTGTCACGTTTAAAAAAAAAAAAAAAAGTTTGTCTATACTACTAGTGAGAATATTCATCGATAAGAAATAATCTACATATATCACAAGCAAAAGGGTTATAGCTCAATTGGTAGAGCACCTCGTTTACATGTGCGCCAATATTTTTCAGAGAAGTACATCATGTAATCAAAAAGGTTGATCTTATTGAGAAATCGATATCTTACTCCATTACTTTTAAGGAACAAAACAAGAGAATAGTAGCCTAACAAAAAAAAGGTTCGGTCCGAATCGAGTGCCCTATTTAGGCACTAAAAAAAAATCCGTCGTTGATTTGAGATATTGATAAGGTGAATACCCAGTCTATTCGAGTATTTTAAACACAAAGTTTAAATGATTCTCGGTAATGGCAAGATTAGAGTTATTAAGAAAAATTATTCTAAAGATTTTTTAATTTAAAACACAAGATATGGTGATAGACTATTCTCACAAAGTGTCTAGATAATTCATAAAATTTTAAATTTAAGATAAATGACGATCATAATTAGAACAAAGTGGGCGTAAAACTGAGACAACTTACAATCCATTCTTAATTTCAAGAAAGATCGGGTTTTGAACAAGTATTTACTTAAATCCAAGAGCCTAACTTGAACAATTGGAACTTATGAGATTGCCTCAAATTACAGAAATTGGACTTGAAGTAGATCAAAGTTACTTCTGATAGCCATTGACAGACACCAATTCTGCAGCATTAGATCATTGGGAGTGGAATTAAAATATAATTCAGTTCATAGATCTGAAGATAAGAATAAACAAAATGGGTTCAAACTATTAACTAAAGATCAAAAGAAAATAAAGAATGCTCATCATTTGGGCAGTAAAAATGGAACAGTTGGCTGTCTGAAACAATGTTTCAGGAAATGGCTTCCTCACCAGCATAGGCAAAAACCCATCAAAGCACAACCAATCCAAATGAATATCAGTCAAAGAGTCGGTAGAACAAAACATAAAGAGCTTTGAATCCTTCGTACAAACCAAAGGCCAAACCCTAAAGAAACAGAGTAAATGCCACAAAGCACCAAAGTCATTGTGACTGTTTCTTACAGAAACACTTCACGGCTTGTTGGCAGTTGGCCTGAGACCTGGTAAATGTAAGTCACACATCGCACATTCCAATCCTTTTCAGTAGAAAAGATGGTTTCTAATATGCATTACAATTGTTTTCTAAATCACTTAAGAGGTGTTTGACTTCATGAGTGAAGTTTGTGTAGCTCAGGATTATGGAGTTAGAATTTACGCCCGGACTTCAAACTGAAACTCGCCATTAATACTACATACGAACTTTTACAGATCGTAATTCTAGAACCATACGAAAGCCGTTCAATCCCAGACTTCAGTGTATTTTGTTTCTTTGGACAATTTAAACACACTAAATAGATTCGAGGTCCTCGTGCTTGAGCTAACTATAACTGTGAGCAAAACTATCTCCTAGACGTCTCATATCTAAAATGAACGGAAAATTTTTACAATGCTCACTGCTGTGCAGCCGCATCGAACTTACTAAATAAAATGAATTAGAAGAGATAAGAAAAAGAAAATGACATCTTAAACAGACTACAGGTTAGAGAATGTTGCAGCCGAGGGGTACAGAGAAGGGTTCTTCTAGACTGGCAAAATAAATGGATCGGCACTGAAGCTTGTTGCATTATAAAATTGGGTACACCATTACATAATATGTTACTTCTACAGATGCACATTGACTGATAGATGGTTAGTTTAAAAGGCACTACTGACAATGCAGACGCCAGAAACCTAATATTCACAAAATTTTCCAAGGAGCATTTGCTCTCAGAAAGGATTTCTACCCTCTTAATCGTTATTAATGTCAATACATGCACTAATCTATCAACTCCAAAAGGAATGAGACCCTCTAATAAAAGGACGGGTGACTTGAAGAACCTCAAGACAACGGAAAAATAGAGAATTATAAGAAAGGAAAGACAAGACCCTGTACACGTACCTCTACATCTGTCTCTATCTTCCCAAAACTAGGCCAGTGGTAATATACATAAATCACAAGGGAGAAATATCATCCTTCCCATCTTCACTTTTACCTCAAGAAAAACGAGAAGGAAAGGGTAAAGGACATCGCCTGAACTGCACTAGGGATGGGTCTCATGAATAGAGTGACAATTTATCCCATATGAAAACCTCAATTTGTGAAGTCGAAAGTGTTCCATCACTTCCTCTCTTGCGAAGCCCTCAATCATGAATAATTAACCTGCTTCATCTGCAAAAATAATAAAAATAAATAAGGAAACCATGTTCTTCACCCTACAATGTGTCTGAAAAAAACAAGATTTTGAGCCAGAAAATTATTAACATGCATTCCTCCCTTTTGGGACTTCGTTTCTTCGAACACAAGTCACTTTTTGTTTCTTCCATGCAAAGTTTGGTTTCTTATTAAAAAATCAAATAGAAAAACGAACAAACAAACACAACCTGATGAAATAATTATTAAAATGTAACCTGCGACCATTTGAGAGGGAAGGAAGAGTTGTTCAATCATGCAAGCCTATTCTTTCATGATATGAAGCAAAAGGCCATCTCTTTTTTCCTTCTCTTTACACTAGGATAATAGACTGTTAATGGTAATAATTGAGATGGATAGTCATAATACCTGTACACTGCCTTTACAGAGTGCATGCTGACCGAATCCCCGTCAGAGAATGAACCGGCACTACCCTATCACCAGATTGCTTCATTCCATGTTAGCATTTTCAGGCTTCAAATACAAACTACCTTGCTCTGCTTGCTTGTGCTGTGATTGATGCTGAGCTTGCTGTTGCACAGGTTGATGATGTTGGGACAATGAGGGGTCTTGATGCTTTTCTTGCTGCTGTGATTGGGTAAATTGATTTGGAGATTGCTGCAATGGAACTTGCTGTGGCCACTGTAGCCCAGCGCTATGTCCATGAGAAGGTAAGGCACGAGAGGACTGCCTAGGGCCCATTCCCAGGTTGTTGGGTGTTGGCTCACCACCAGTAAAGTTAGTAAGGGGTGAACTACCAATCAACCCCAACTGAGGTTT